CACTGAAGCAGAGCATGCAAACTTGACCACTGCACCACCAGGCAGCCCCCTTTCTTTCTTTTTAAAATGGCATTATGTTCTGTCTTGTGGATATTAGTGATTTTTTTTTTGAATCTTTCTCCTCCTTGCATAGTCTCAATATGATGTTGCCTTTTTCCTTTTTTCCCTCTCTCTCATATTAGTAGGTTTCCTTAGATGTCTGATAATCCTGGGTTGTCTGCTCATGTTTAAGAATGAGGGACTGAAAAAGGCTGATGGGAAAGTCTGGATGCATGAGTAGGGTTTGTTAGCTATGCCCTTTACTGTAGGACAGCCCTGTCCAATAGAAATACAATGTGAGTCACATACATAATTTTAGATTTTCTGTTAGCCACATTAAAAAAGGCAAAAAGAAACATGTGAAATTAATTTTAATAATATAATTTATTTAATCAAATATCTCAAATATTTCAATATGTAATAAATATAAAAATTATTAAGATATTTTATATTCTGTTTTTCATGTTAAGTTATTGAACTCCAGTCTATATTTTACGTTTATAGCACATCTCAATTTGGATGATAAATTTTTGTAAAAAATACTTGGTGTGTATTTAGATTCCATAATTTACGAATGAAAAAGTAGATTCAGATACCCAGGGTGTTCCAAATATACTTAAGTTTTGCAATAAGAATAGAATGTTAGTTTTTAAATTTAAATTTTGTTAAAATTAAATAAAAAATTCCTTCCTCAGTCGCAGCAGCCGCGTTAGAAGTGTTGAGTAGTTGCATGTGGCTGTGGCTCCCGCACTGCACTGCACAGCTCTAGTGTGATCACCCTGGACTGTGGCAGTAGCTATGTCAGTAGCTTTAGGCTGTGTCGGTAGTTTTAGGTTGTTTTTCGATTCCCCAGAGAAGACTCTTCCAACCTTTTGCCTTAAGGGTAAGTGCCAGGCTGCTGGGATTCTGAGAAACTAGAAGGGAGAAGGTGCTGAGTATCTCAGTGTATAGCGTGCATAGGTTTACTTTTCTTTTTGGTATAGGATCCCTGTCCACAACTGCCTGGCATTCCACAATCCAGAGACCCTCTGTTTTACCCTCCTCTAAGAGTAAAGTTCCAGACTTCTGCTGGAGGAAGGGAGGGCAGTCTTCCAATCGCATGGTGGTGGAGGTGACATGGAAGGATCTGCAGCTGTAACAGCTTCTTGAACAGCTTTCAACCAATCTCCTCCAACTCCCTTTTCCATGGGTACCTGGTGACGCTGATTCCTGAGCCTTTTGAGGATCCTTAAGTATAATTTGGATCGGCTACTGGCTTTTCCTACTTCTGATAGGACTCAGCTTTCTTAGGTCTGTTGGTTTGCCAATAGTTCTTCTATTTATTCCCCAGCCTCAAAATTTGGTTGGAGTTGCACTTTTCTTGTTTTTCCAACCTTGTAGGCTCCTTCCTTCCATCATTTTTTTCTTTATAAAAATTCCTTTTCCGTAGTTACAAGGGTTTCAAGAGGGGAGAAATTAGATGCTTTGATTCAGTCTACCATCTTTTACCTAGAAGTTCCTATTAATCTCTATTCATGAGCAGACTTTGATATTTTAAAAAAATTCATTTGGTATGTATGCTTTCTTCAGTATCTATATTTGTTGTTGAAGGTTTTAGTGATAGTTTTAGTGGAAGACTCAATAGGAGGGACAGGAGGATGAAGTATTTAGTGCAGCCAGGCTAGGACAGTAAGGGTTTGGTTTGGGGGCAGAAGAGAATTGACAGCAAACAAGGGGAATGGTGAGAATAGAAGCATTAGAGGTGGATAGGATGATTAGAGACTTTATAAAAAAAACTTGGACGTCTGAGGCGTAAAGCATAAATATAGCTCCAGTGGCATTTTATCTTCCTGGACTGCACTATTTTTGGTTCTTATTACTTCTCATGAGCTAGGAACCTCTTGTTCGATATCTCGGAGAATCCACAAAACAACTAATGATACCTTTAAAAAGAACTGAGCAAAGCTTATTGTTTGCAAACACAGTATACATAGGATCTGTAAGGAAAACACACTTAGTATTAAATAAGTAAACAATACACTGTCAATATGCTGCAGCAGGAGGTTCCGTTTCACTAACTGAATTGAGCTTGCTCTTTGGGTGTTCTGTTGGGTTCTGAAACAGTTTTGCCTCTACTGTGCTGAAATTCACTTTGCTGGTAGTTGCTGCCCTCTGTTGGACTAGTTAGGGAAATGCCGCTTTTAGCCTGCATGGATCATTTTTGCTGTCTTTACTCAAATTGAGCACTAAAACGTGGATAATGTTTTCAAAGAATTAAATCTGTTTCTAATGATGCACCAGGGAAAGCAAAAGAAACTGGTATCTTCGTTCTTATGAAAAGATGTTTACTTTTGTATCTAAAGGAAAGAGTTAGTGGGCATTAAATGGGAATAAGGCAGAAGAATTTGGGGAATTCAACGATTTTGGGCTTTGGAATCTGGAGACCTGAGTTCCATACCCTGCTTGCCCCTAGTCATGTGACCACGATGATTTACTCCACCTGTCTGAGCGTCAGTTTCTTCACTGATACAATGAGGAGGTGGAATAGATTTGAGGGCTCTCTAGGGATTCATATTTTAGAAAAGCAGCCCCAGATTATGGTATTTGTTCATAGGAGATATAATGACTAAGTCTCAGGCTCTTCCCTAAAGGAACTTAGTCTGGAAAGGGGTAGAGGAGGCAGACAATCAAAAGATAATTATAATACACTAGTAGGACTATGGGACCGGCAAGTACCTATTACAGTGGAAACACAGGTATCATCCTGCAGGGCTGTTGGAGTTAATCTGGAAAGCACAATGTAGGCTGAGGGAAGCAGCAGCCTGGGGAAAGTCTGGGATAGGGAGACAGCATGATCTGTTTGTGGACCTGCAACTAGTTCAAGATGCTGAGAAGACAGGGTTTGAGGTGGAGGGTTTGTTGAGAGATGAGTCTAGGGAAAGAAGCCAGGAGTGTCATGTGCCGTGCTAAGGAATTTGGATTTTAACCTGAGGGCACTGGGGAGCTCTTGAAGGATTTTAAATGGGGAAATAATGGGGGTAGGTTGGCATTTTAGACAGATTACTCTTGGATGCGGTATGGAGAATGGATTTGGTGTGGGGCAGACAGCACTGAAGGCAGAGAGGTCAGTTAGGAGGCTATTGCAGTAAGTCAAGCAGGAGATAATAATGGCGTGAACTTAGATAGTGGTAGTGGGATGGACAGAGGAGAAATAAATCAAGAATCTGTAAGCAGAAAGAACAGGCTGCTTGTTTCCCCTTTCTTTAACTTAACCTGCAGCTGTGAGCAATCCGGCTGGCAGTGATTCGTTAGACCCAGGTTCTGTACCTACCTTACATCCATCCTGGAGTTGTTTGGGTTGCTGCTTGGTTCTGAGGGAACATTTTGAGTTTGGAGGACAGGGTTCTGGAAGCAATGGCTCTAGGAGCAAATAAGTTTAACCTTGGCACTGGCAACCTAGACTGTACACACTCATCCTTTTTGTGGCTTGTTTCACTTCTTTGTGCCAGGTGACTTAGGGTGGTGACAAAAGGAACTGTTGGTCTCTTTGAGTGTTGCTGGCTCTGCCTCACCATCCTTCTGCTTTTGCTGCCCAGTAAGGAGCACATGCAAAGTAGCTTTAAATTCCATTGACGCTGAGCAAGGTTCTTATGGTTTCAGGTGAGTGATTAGCACTCACTCAGCAGAAGCTTGACCTCCTCTGGACCGTGGAGGGCAAAGTTAAGATTCATAGTTTACCCTCGATTTAACTAAACTCTGACGTAGGGATCATGAACATAATGATACAGATTTTTCTTGTCCATAAAAAAGTTAGTAAAATGGCTTTGTGGTAGGGTCAAAACTAGTTTTTCATTAGTTGAGGAAGGTTAGTCAAGTTGCGTACTATACTCTTCTAAAGACATTACCAAAAAGAAAGATAGTTTAAAATTAAGCATTAGGACAAAGAAGAATTCCTGCTTTCCCACACCTGCGCGTTCAGGCTTTTTTTTTTTCCCCTGGTAAAGTATAGCATGTGTACAGAAGAGAACATAAAACATACAGAATAATTATAAACTGAACATCCATGCAACCGTCATCTAGATCGAGAAATAGACTATTGTAAGCACCTCAGAAGCCCCCTTGTCCCCTTCTGCAGTCACAACTCTTCCACCCACTCCAAATAACCACTCTTTTGACATTTGTGGTAATCATTCCCTTTATTATTTTATATCCTAAATGATAGTTTAGTTTTGCATGTTTTTAAACTCAATGTAAATGAGATAACACATTCAATTTTATGTTTGTGAGTAGCTGTTAGTTCATTTACTTTCTTTGCATAATAGTTGTCTGCTGTACCAGTATACCAGTTTATCTGTTCTACTCTTGATGGCTATTTGGATTGTTCTCTGTTTTAGATATTATGGTGTTGCTGTGAACATTCTTGTTATATACATCTTGCTACATATGTGCAAGTTTCTTTAGGGTAGATAATTGGAAATTGATGGGTTGAGTTGTAGTGTATGTGTGTATTTAACTTTACTAGATAATACTATACTGTTTTCCAAAGTGGCCTTAGCAGTTTTCATTACCACCCACATGTCTGAGAGGTCCTACTGCTCTGTGACTAGAGAGACATGAAATTTTTTGCCAATTTTGAGAGTGCGAAATGTCTTAGTGTGCTTTTAGGTTGCATTTCCTTGTTTACTAATGAAGTTGAGCACATTTCGTAGGTTTACTGTTCATCAAATATAGAGTCTTTTCGGTTCTCCATCTTTTTTTTCCAGAGTCATTTGTTTGTGACCTTAAAACTCTTCCTGCCTGTCACCTAAGGGAATGTGCTAAGGAATAATTTGGCAAAAGTCTTAGCCTATGGGAAGTAGCTTAGATCCTTTCAACTTATTTTCTCTTCTTTTTTCCCCCAACCCATCTGGTATTTGGGAGGTTTCCTGGCATTTCACTGATCTCTCTTCTCTTTCTTCTCTCTCCTTTTTCCTGTTTCCTAGACTCTGAAGCGGCTCATGGCAGATGAGGTAAGGATATTTTGTTCAGCATGTGCATGTTCTAGCTCCTTTCCTACACTATGACTTTTACCAGTTACCATAACTTTGACTTTCTATAACTTGTAATGGTGACATGAGTTCTATTCTCAGAGCACCCCAAAGCTTGTTCCTAACTCTTTGCTCCGGGTTTGGCCCATTGCATGCATTTCCCTGGCACATTCACTGGCTTCCAAGGTTAGGCACTTTCTGTAAACTCCAAGCTGACTTGCGGTCTCCTTGCCACTCATGTCGCTTGAAGCCCCACAATGCTTCCACATGTTTACTGTTATTTTCAAACAGGTGGAGCTGATAAGCTACAGGTTATTGGTGGCTTTTTTTGATTTGAGCATCTGTACTTGAGGTTTGAAGAATGGTTCATGAGCACTTGGTTGGCAGAGAGATGGCATATATTCCCCTGAAGTACGCTATATTCTTTGCAAAGGGGATTTTGAAGAATATGTATTGAACTTTTTCTGCCTACATAGCACAAGTGCTATGGAGTGTACAGAAGAAAGAAAAAGGAATGGTTCCTGGTTTTAAGGCATTTATTTGTTTATTCTCTATGACTTATATATGTTAAAATCTATGGTCATACTCACCTCTCGAAGGGAGGGATCCTCTGAGAGCCTGACCACATTTATTATTGGAGAGCTAGAGGGAAACAAAGGGCATTTTATGGAGATAGCTCTGTACATGAGATGCTTTCAGTTCTCTGCTGCCAGAGGGCTTAGAAATGGTAAGGGATCTCAAGAACAAAGTTTTCTCTTTTTAGCGAGGTTCCAAATCTTAATACTTCAGTCCTCTTATCTTTGGATGAAATTGAGAGTACAGAGTCAGTATGCTAATAAATTAGCTACAAGGAAGACTGGTTTCTTCTTTTCATGTCAGAAGAGCTTTGAATTGCCCACAAACCAGAGGAACCATGCATGTATAAGAGGCTAGAGGGTTGGCTGTTTGGTGTGTGGTTTGTTGTGTAAATGAAAATGGATCACTGCTAATATTTTTTTCTCTTTCTTAGCTGGAGAGATTTACCAGCATGAGAATTAAGAAGGAGAAGGAAAAGCCCAATTCTGCTCATAGAAATTCTTCTGCATCATATGGGGATGATCCCACTGCACAGTCATTGCAAGATGTTTCAGATGAGCAAGTTCTAGTACTCTTTGAACAGATGCTGGTAAGTTTCCCACCCCAAGATGTTGCTTCTTGCTGAAAATGCATTTATGGGCATGGTGGGCCCTTTTTTGTGCACGGTCCCCCTTAACTAGCCGTTAATTACCAAGAATTCCAGGCTTAACAAGGAACTTCTTAATAGCAGTCCCATTAATCAAGAGACTAAATATCAAGCACCAGTCCATAAAGTTGGAATCTATGAATTAGGCTTGGAAATATCTGATCACTGACCACCTTGTTAATGTCCTCTGCCTAGCAACACTTTAGCCACAAAGACGGGGTGAGTGGACCAACTCGTGGTATTGTGGAGACCACCTTTGGGTTAGCCAGAGAAGATAAAATTTTGAAGCATTCACAATGAACTCTATACAAAGAAGAAACTGAGGAATGGAAAGGCATCATTTGCTCAAGGTCTTCTATTTAGTGGTGAATCTGGAAAGAGAATTCTCATGCTATAATCACTAGAAGACCTTTAAAGATTGTGGCTGAAGTCAGTTGAATAATGAAGTATACATGGATGTGACTTACTTTGCTGCCCTCAGTAAGGGACACTGAATGAGGAGGACACTCAGTAAAGTCCACTAGGGATAAGTCTGGGAAAGTTTTGAGTACATGCTTATAAGGTTTCATAAGACCCTGTATATTGCCTGGATATATGACTCAGATTCAAATAGAGACTAGTGGCAGACCTAACTTAAATAAAAGCAGGGGCTTAAAATCCTTAACAAAGGGCCTGGTATATAGTGAACACTCAATCAGTAATACTATTATTATTTTTCATTGACACTATCGGTCTGTTTCTTAATAATCCAAGTGCATTAAGAGTCTAAGAGTATATGATCTATCAAGACAATCTCTTGGCTGTGGATTGCAAATTTAATGTCTTTAGGACCAGGGAGGTAGTATAAATAAGTTAAACAGGCTAGAGAGAAGATAAAACGGAGAAGAGATTGTGGGAAAATGAAGAAGGATTTTGGAATTTTTCTTAGAAAGGCCAGCCACAATTCAATTCTGGCAGGTTTTATAGCATTCCAGTTGGGGATGCTACCCCAGTAGTGCCAGATATTTCTGTTTTTTGAAAGAAGCCAGAAATCTGTAATTTTTTAAAAACAATAATTCTTTAATAGCATCAAAAATCATAGCCAGTGTTCAAATTTCCCCAATTAGGTCATTTTTTAAAAAACCATTTGTTCAAATCATAATTCCAAATAAGGTCCATTGTACTATTATTCTCTTGTTTCATTTAATCTATGGGTTTTCCTCCCTCTGTTTTATCCTTGCTATCGCTATTAAAAATTTGTTGAAGAAACTGTTTGACCTATAGAGTTTCTCACGATCTGAAATTTGATGATTGCATCCCTTGATGCCAGAAATTCATATTTATATATGAAGTCTCCCAAATTTAAAATGTTGAGCTAGCCAAACAAAACATACTTTGTCTTTGGGGCTGATTCAACCTGAGGGCCACCTTTGCAGCTTCTGCATTCAATTTATCTGTAAAAAGAGGGAAAAATCATCAGGAATTGAATCAGAAAAATGTCAGATTAATATTGCTGTTTGGAGGCAATGATTCCTTCACACACAGACTTGCACACACATGCCCCAAGAGGAAATAGGATATATCCACTTTTTTCCCACCTATATTTTCCCCATTTTAAATAATATTCTGGACTTGTTAGGATTAAGCTTGTGCTCACAGTGGTACTGGGCTCAGACACATGGTTCTACGTGTAATAGGCTCAAGCAGAGCCATTCCCCCAATACCACACTCCAGGTTATGTCTCTTGAGGGGCTTTATCACAGAGTTTTCAGCTCTTTCTTCATGGGAAAGGAGTCTGTACAGGGACTGAGATGACCAGGGGTGGTGGGTGTTTAGGCCGTAGAGTGGTGTTGCTGGTGTCAATTTTGGTGTTCGGATGATGCCAGTGTTGCAGTGCTCCAGTCTGAAAAGATTATTAAGGTCCATCCTAAATGCAAAAAATATTACGTATGCTTTTCTTTCAATAATACAAAATAAATTTTTCATCTATATTGAGTCCATTTTTGTTAGGAAAAAAATTAAGTATGTATGTATAAAAATGTCTATAGGGATTTATACTAAAATGTTAACCACATTTATCCCTGGGGAATTTTCATCATCCGTAATAGCTTAAATCTCTAGAGATCAGGAAAATGTATATATTCAGTAAAAATGTAATGTGTACAACTCTTCACTAAGCATACTAAATATTAAACTCTGAAAACTTGTAAGAAATTTGAGGCAATTTTGTTTTTTCCCTTTTTTTCTCCCTCTACTAGCTGGATATGAACCTGAATGAGGAGAAACAGCAACCTTTGAGGGAGAAGGACATCATCATCAAGAGGGAGATGGTGTCCCAATACTTGCACACCTCCAAGGCTGTGAGTCCTGGGGCAGGTGCCCATGACATGGGAGACTGCCCTTATTTTGGACCTGTTCATTTTGCCACTTTTATAGAACATTTTATGTCTACGTTGGTCCTATTTCATTCCGTTATATAAGCCTACTCATTGTTTACACTCATATGAGTTACCATTCTTACATACTTTTTGCGTGATTTAATCTTCACGAAGTATGTATGTGGAATGGGATGGGAAATTCTGAGTCTCACATAGTTTGGTGGTGTGTGTGATGGGTGTCTGCCCTGATATTCTTTAAACTATATTGACTAACACTAGTCCAATTTATGACTGCGTGGAGTGTTTACTAATCTGTCTATGTGCTCCTGTCTAGGGTATGAGCCAAAAGGAGAGCTCCAGGTCTGCCATGATGTACATTCAGGAGTTGAGGTCAGGCTTGAGGGATATGCCTCTGCTCAGCTGCCTGGAGTCCCTTCGTGTCTCTCTTAACAACAACCCTGTCAGGTGAGGATTCTAAGGAGATAACAGGAGTGGAGCCCACAGTTAGACTTCACTGGTGGGCCTTGAAGATCAAAGGAGTCAGGGAAGTATGAGAATGTTCTGGATTGGGAGTAAAGAGTTGCCAGGTTAAACTTGATTTTGGTGAATAAGTATTTATTGGTTTGATTTGATACTGCATTGTCTCTATCTGTTCCTTACAGTTGGGTGCAGACATTTGGTGCTGAGGGCCTGGCCTCCTTATTAGATATCCTGAAACGACTTCATGATGAGAAAGAAGAGATTGCTGGGTGAGGACATCTAAGTTTTGACATCTTCTGGGTGGAGGGTAGTAGGGGACTTGGCTGTTTGCTCTAAAGGAGAACATAGCAATATAAATGTAACCTTATAGGCTAGGAGAATGTGCTGTTAGCTGAGAATGGGGTTTATTCTAGGGGTGACTAGAGGATGAATGATAATTATAGATATGGGAAAGGGAAGAGGAACTTAAGTTTCATAGTGAATAACACAGGATATATATACTACATTAGACTATGAGTCTCCCTGCACAGGTTTTTATCCAGTCTGGAAATAGGGTCTGATTTAGTCCAGAGTTCCCATGTGATCTGGTCTGCGTCATATCTTACTTGGAAGTCTTATGATACACTTGATCAGTTTGAGACTAGCATTGTGACAGTATTCAGGGTTGGAATAATACTGGGGATACGTTGGAGTGTCTTAGGCTACCTTGAAGCCAGACTGACCCAAAGTGACTTCTCTACTTCCTGGGATCTTTCCAAAACAAACACAGTGCCTATACCTCTTCAATGTACAGACTTGAAGCCTTTGAAGTAGTGAGGCAAATGGTAATAGATGGGATGTTATCCTGATAGAATTTAGCATTTAAGAGTCTAGAGGGAGTTAAGGGAGGATTTTAATGTAATGCTAAATTATTGGACTGAGAGAGGATTAACCAAAGGTCTTTGATGGTGGGGATCCCTCTTCAGCTGCCTGTTTTTGCCAGTGTTTCAGGGCAAAGTACTGTGTGCCAGAATTTACTCAGCTACTAGTTGAGGACATTCCTAAGACACTTGTTTGCAAGACTGAAGACAAATGGGAGAGGGGTATAGAATAAAGTGAGTTCATCGATAATGTTTTCTATATGCAGAAGCTACGATAGCCGTAACAAGCATGAGATCATTCGCTGCTTGAAAGCTTTTATGAACAATAAGGTGAGATTTTTCCCATTTTCCTTCCAATTCCCATCAGGACCCCTATTCTTTCTCTTCTTTTGGCAAACTCCAAAAAGGACCTAAGAATATGAGGTTCAAGACTTGTAGCTTTCCCTTTTAGTATCATAACTTTTTGATTGCCTTATATACATGTTTCTATGGACCTTTTTTCCGAGTTCTCATGTCTGTTTCAGAGGGTAGGCTTGATTTTCTTCCTCTTTTTATACTTTCTTTTGATAATTCTTGAGTTTTCTAGCCTATAGTTATTGTTTTTGCAAGGTTTACTTTATTCCCTGCTTGTGTGTTCTTTTCCCCAGAGCATTCCTACTGTAGAATCTTTTTGCCTTTTTTGTGTGTAGAATATAAACCCAGGGAGCCCACAGTTGTTTTTTCAAAAGTGCAAATCTGTCTTCCTTATTTTTTGATTTTGTTATAACTAACTTATTCCTTTGGGGGGGCATTAAAAAGAACCATAAGAATCAAAGATTTTATTCTTGGAAGACACAGGATTCTGTTGTATCTATTAGAAAATTATTTTGCTATGCTCATGTCTGTTTAGCCATATTGAGAAAAGTATTCTACCACTGTATTAGTTTGCTAGGGCTGCTATCACAAGGCACTACAAACTGTGTGTCTTAAGCAATAGAAATTTATTGTCTCACAGTTCTAGAGGCTGTAAGTCCAAGATTAAGGTGTTGGCGGGGTTGGTTCCTTCTGAAGGCTGTGAGGGAGAGTATGTTCCATGCCTTTCTCCTAGCTTCTGGTGGCTAGCAATCTTTGGCATTCCTTGGCTTGTAGACACATCGTCCCGATCTCTGTCTTTGTGTTCACATGGCATGTGTTTGCATGTCTGTGTCCACATTTCCCCTTTTTATAAGGATAACAGTCATATTGGATTAAGGGACCACCCTACTCTAATATAACCTCATTGTAACTTAACTAATTACATCTGCCAATGACGCTATTTCCAAATAAGGTCACAGTCTAAGATACTGAGGGTTAGGACTTCGACATATGAATTTGTGGGGGGAACACCATTCAACCCGTAACAACTCCTAAACTTGTCCCTGGTTAGGTCCTGTCACCGCTAAGCCTCCCTCCTCTGTTCTTGTCCTTCCAGTTTGGAATCAAGACCATGCTGGAGACAGAAGAAGGGATCCTGCTGCTGGTCAGAGCCATGGATCCTGCTGTTCCCAACATGATGATTGATGCAGCTAAGCTTCTTTCTGCTCTTTGTATCCTGCCACAGCCAGAGGACATGTATGTAACTGGAATTATTTCCCTTCTCCATTCTCTTTTTTACTATCTTTCCTAGTCTAGAGGAAAATTGAGTTGCTTAGGTGTCTACTTGGTCTTGCTTACTAGGTAAGACTGTATTTCTTCCCAGATGTGAACACTGAATCTTAATATTTAGGAAAGATTGTTAAATGAAGGGGGCTGGTCTGAGTGTAGCACTGGTTATTAGAGGTATCGCAGGATATCTCCTAGATCTCCGTTAATGTCTCTATTGTTGAGGACAAGCGTTTCTTTTACTTTTCTTTTTAATTCAGAAGTAACACAATGTTATTATTAAAATTTAAACAATATAGAAGTATATAAAGTAAAATTTACCAGCCTCATCCCTTTGGCAAATCCTCTTCTGCAGAGGTAACCACTGTGAGTCGTTTGGCACAGTCTCATAGATATTTTTCCAGAACAGACAAATATATTGCATTTCGTAGATTCTGATACTTCTGCCACTCCAAAAGATGGTATCTTAAAGCGAAGGAAAGATGGCTTTTGCCTATAAAATCAATCACATAATTGGATAGATTTTTATTTTTGTGGAGGGGTTTGATTTAGCAAAAGCTAAATCATGCCGTTCTTTCTTTTCAACTTGTTTCGTTTTGTTTAGCAATAGATCTTGGACATACTTCTATGGTGATACGTCTAGATCTACCTTATTATCTTTAGTGGCTCTTTAGCATTCCATAATATATATGCCCCATAATTTATTTAAAAATTCCTCCATTGCTAGACTTTTAGGTAGACTTTTTTTTTAAGCGATTCTGTCCCTACTCTAGATGATAAGAATTTTTACTGTTACAAATGATGCAAAGATAATAGAATATCTTTGTACATATGTTCTTTCACATTTATGCATTTATGTTGGATAGATTTCTAGAAGTAGGCCAAATGTTATGTGCATTAAAAATTGATACTATTGGGGGCTGGCCCAGTGGCATAGTGCTTAAGTTCACATGCTCTGCTTTGACCGCCTGGGGTTTGTGGGTTCAGATCCCAGGCGCGGACCTATGCATCGCTTGTCAAGCCACGCTGTGGCAGCATCCGACATAAGTAAAGAAAGATTGGCACAGATGTTATCTCCGCGACAATCTTCCTCACACAAAAAGAAGATTGGCAACAGATGCTAGCTCAGGGCCAATCTTCCTCACCAAATAAATAAATAAAATTACTATTAAATACCCGTTAAAAAGTTGTACCAATTTATACTCCATAGAACAGGGGTCTTAATTTAGTATCCGTGGATAAGAGTTTATGGATGGGTTTTAGGGAGAGCATTGTTCTGAGGAGATGGTCCTTAGGTTTCAGCAGATCTGGCCTCTGCTCTTGGTGATGAGAAGAATAATGTGAGAAATCCAAAACATTGATAGTGTTCTGTTTCCTAACTGGTCTGTGTGCCCCTCTATAATTTATCTACCTGTTGTGCATGTCTGTGTCAGAGCACCTGGGCAGTTCTCTCCTTTTCCTTTGTCTTGGGCAGGAATGAAAGGGTTTTGGAGGCGATGACAGAAAGAGCTGAGATGGATGAAGTGGAACGTTTCCAGCCACTGCTGGATGGATTAAAAAGTGGGACCTCCATTGCGCTCAAGGCATGTATATCCCCTGAGACTGGGCCCAAGAATAGAATTCAAGATGAAAAGACTTGAGTTCATTTGACCTTTTAATAGAACACCTGGAGTGGTTCCCAACTATGTATTTTATATTTCAGAATTCATTCTGAAGGGAAAATGATTATCCTGCTCTCCAAGAAGGCAGAGAAAGAACCATTTTCCTTATTATGAGATGGAAAAAAGGCATAGTATCTGTTTACAAGCTAGAAAAACCTAGGCCTAGAATAAATTATGCCATCAAATCCTTGAAATTGTTTAGACCTCTGAGCTCTCCAAACCTGTGCTCAAACCAGGTCATATTGCTGTAACAGAAAATCATTCTTGTAGTTTTGTACTTCATCTTCTAGGTTATATTTGGGGGCCTCAGAATGCATGTTAACAGAGTGGAATCTTTATCTGTAGGATTTAACATTGACTTAGCTGCTGAATTTTCTTATTTTAGGTGGGGTGCCTACAGCTGATCAATGCTCTCATCACACCAGCTGAAGAACTTGACTTCCGAGTTCATATCCGAAGTGAACTGATGCGCTTGGGGCTACATCAAGTGTTGCAGGTGAGATGCAACACTTCATTAGGAAGACTGGGTTGATTCCTTCCTGCTCCTATAGCCCAGTCATCCTTGGGATAACTTTGGTTTTCAACTTAAAAACCAAGTTTAGGGGCTGGCCTGGTGGCACAGCCATTAAGTTCGCACATTCTGCTTTGGTGGCATGGGGTTCGCCGGTTCAGATCCTGGGTGTGGACATGGCACCGCTTGGCACGCCATGCTGTGGTAGGCGTCCCACATGTAAAGTAGAGGAAGATGGGCGTGGATGTTAGCTCAGGGCCAGTCTTCCTCAGCAAAAAGAGGAGGATTGGCAGCAGTTAGTTCAGAGCTAATCTTCCTCAAAAAAAAAAATAAAAACCAGGTTGAAAGGTTTGGGTTTCTAGTCAGCATAGGACACTTCTGGGTTTCCTGACCTATACTTTTGCCATTGGCAGGAGCTTCGAGAGATTGAAAATGATGATATGAGAGTACAACTAAATGTGTTTGATGAACAAGGGGAAGAAGATTCCTATGACCTGAAGGGACGACTGGATGACATTCGAATGGAGATGGAATATCCTTTTACTTACTGGGTTCAAGACAGATGAGAGGGGACTGGCCCCATGGCCGAGTGATTAAGTTCACGTGTTCTGCTTTGGCCGCCCAGGGTCTTGCTGGTTCGGATCCTGGTAGCAGACATGGCATCACTTGTCAGGCCATGCTGAGGCTGTGTCCCACATAGCACAACCAGAGGTACTCATAACTAGAATATACAACTATGTGATGGGGGGCTTTGGGGAGAAGAAGAAGAAGAAAAAAAAAAAGAAGATTGGCAACAATTGTTAGCTCAGGTGCCAATCTTAAGAAAAAAAAAAAAAAAAAAGACAGATGAGATATTCAGTTGTAGATCCCTGTATAGAATGATGTGGGGGTGATGACTCAGAACAGGATGTCAGCCTGCGTGTCTTCTTGGTAGATAGAGCGGGTGTCTGTTGATTGCTGTTGGATTTATTTATTTTCCTGACTTTTCTGTCCAAATCCCCCCAGGACATGGTTGCATATTTTAGTTGTGGGTCCTTCTAGTTGTGGCATGTGGGACACCGCCTCAGCGTGGCCTGATGAGTGCTGCCACGTCCGTGTCCAGGATTCGAATTGGTAAAACCCTGGGTGGCCGAAGTGGAGTGCGCAAACTTAACCACTCAGCCGTGAAGCTGGCCCCTGTTGGATTTATTTACCTCAGCATGGACCAGGGAAGTTAGGGAAGGTGATCTGAGGGTTGCATAGCGTGGAAGCAGCCATCGGAATTGGTATGGACCTCCTAGTACGTGATAGCTTAGCTTACTGTGATGTAGAGCTCGTCTTTGGAGACCATACGCAAGTCAGGGTTGGGGTTGTCATTTGCTTTCCTCTTTGTGTCCCTGAGACTGACAGAGGGAGTAATTTGGTTACCTATTGATAGTTGCCACAAATGACTTTGAGGCAGTTACCTTTTCATTTCTGTCTACTGCTTGATTTTCAAGCCAGGTACGAGGAATTCTCTGTCTCTCTGTATAGTACCACCCAACTCACTGGTCCCTGGGCCAGAGGAAGTTTATAGAGGTTAAAGTTTTGGGCAGTGTTTACAGGAGGAACAGCTGTTACAAGTGGCATCTTGCTACTTTTCCTGATAGTTGGGCAAGCCACCTGTCAAACGTAATTTTTAAATGTGTAGTTTCCTTAGCCTCGTCTCCTTTTCCACTGACTTCAGTGAAGTCTTCCAGATTCTCTTAAACACAGTGAAGGATTCAAAGGCAGAACCACACTTCCTGTCCATTCTGCAGCACCTTCTCTTGGTCCGAAATGACTATGAGGCCAGGTAAGATGGTATACTTGTGGGAAGTTTTGAAGTTTAGCCTAAGTGGAGAGAGCAAAATTTTTCAATTCAAAGGTTGTCTGTAAAGGGAAGTAGAAATTTAAAGTTCTTTCAGGTCACCTGGAGGCAATAATTCCAGGCATGGTAGATTGAGCAATAGTACTATCCATCATAGGAAGGATCAAGCTCAACTTCTTAGATGGGAAAGGATTGGTACTAGGAGGCAGGTGGCAAGAAGTTTCGATTAGGGGCTGGCCGGGTGGCATAGCGGTTAAGTTCGCACGTTCTGCTTCTTGGCGGCCCGGGGTTCGCCAGTTTGAATCTCAGGTGCGGACATGGCACCGCTTGGCACGCCATGCTGTGGTAGGCGTCCCACATATAAAGTAGAGGAAGGTGAGCACGGATGTTAGCTCTGGGCCAGACTTCCTCATCAAAAAGAGGAGGACTGGTAGTAGTTAGCTCAGGGCTAATCTTCCTCAAAAAAAAAAAAAAAGATTCGATTATCTGAAGTAGATAGGGTAGCTGAGGTGGAAGAGCGGGATTTCTTAGCGTGGCAGCGATACTGCTGTTAATTTTATTAAAAGGTCTTTTCCAGAACCTTTATCCTTAGGTCCCTCTATTGGCAAAGCAGTTAACTTTTCTTGATCCTGAATACTTCTGAAAATTATATTTTGGTTTTCCTTTAATAACCTTATTTTGTTTTTTTTGTAGACCGCAGTATTATAAGTTGATTGAAGAATGTATTTCTCAGATAGTTCTGCACAAGAATGGGGCTGATCCTGACTTCAAGTGCCGGCACCTCCAGATTGATATTGAAGGACTGATTGGTAAGCATATTCTTCTATCTGTTTCCTTAAAAACATTGCTTCTGCCTTTCATTTTGCATCTTTCTTTCAGTGAAAATTTCAGAGAGGATATCTTTCTAGTCCCCAAGTATTTCCTTTTTTTTTTAAAGATTTTATTTGTTTTCCTTTTTCTCCCCAAAACCCCCCGGTACATAGTTGTATATTCTTCGTTGTGGGTCCTTCTAGTTGTGGCATGTAGGACGCTGCCTCAGCGTGGTTTGATGAGCAGTGCCATGTCCGTGCCCAGGATTCGAACCAACGAAACACTGGGCCGCCTGCAGCAGAGTGTGAGAACTTAACCACTTGGCCACAGGGCCAGGCCCCCAAGTATTTCCATTTTTGCCCTTTCTTAGGTGATAACCAACATTTATGCTAGGAATAAACAGGACTTTATTTCTACACAATTCTAAAAATGTACCCCTTCTCACACACCGCCCCACCTTTTGAAGAGACTTCAGCTGTTATCTATGACTCCTGCTGGTCTCAGAGATTCATTAAGTATCATTTGTTGGCATTCTCCATGCCATGCAGCATGGTGCCCTTACTCCATAACAGGCATTCAGAGGGTTTATCTCCAATTTAACTGGAAGTTCCACTTCTTTATCTAGTGCAGAACCTTAAGAAGGATAATAAAAATAAACGAAAGGACCAAAGACTACACTTTGGTTGTATTGAAGGGCTTAGGTTGTGAGAGGGGAAGTCAAGAAGATTGGGAACTTTACTTCCTGACTCTTCTCCTTCTTTTCAGATCAAATGATTGATAAAACAAAGGTGGAGATCTCTGAAGCCAAAGCTACAGAGCTGGAAAAGAAGGTGTGTATGAGAGATCAAAAAAATTGGGATATATCTTTCTTTCTTTGTCTAAAGATTATGATTTTTCTGACATGTGAAACGGTTACCAGTGATATTTTGAAAGCATTCAGCACACAATCGCAGTTCCTAGGGGAAATCTTTCTGGTATAGGTTACTCAGTGGAGAAAGTGGTATGGATGTAATCATGAGGAGCTAGTTAGTGGTGAGTTGCACAGTCCTTGGGCCCCTGGGCCGGACAGGAAAGACAGACGGCACTCATATAATAGTGACAGCACTCAGATTTGCTTGATATCTCAGGCCTCTTCTCCCTAGAACAATAGGAACTGGAATATGTCTGAATTATCTTTTTTCCTTCAATTATTAAGGTCTCCTATTGTAGGTGATAGGTTTTTGATCCTAGAGACTACTGGGATTGTACATGATAGCTGTCCTTGCTAAATGTCTTTAAAATCTTAGGGTTTTTTTTTATTATTATTATAATTCCAAAAATAGGTGGACTATGGAAATGATCCCTGGTTTCCCCCTCCTTTAACCTTGATTTAAGGTCAAAATTTTAAGGTGCTCTTTTTCCCAGGCATTCCCTGGGTTGTGAGCTCCAAAGATCAAGGATTGGCACAAAACAGTAAATTATGGGGAATAACACTTGTGCTTCTTGCTGAGATGGAGAGCTTACTGGGAGCCTGATTCCTTTCTCCTTTAGCTGGACTCAGAGTTAACAGCCCGACATGAGCTACAGGTGGAAATGAAAAAGATGGAAAGTGACTTTGAGCAGAAACTTCAGGATCTTCAGGGAGAAAAGGATGCATTGGATTCTGAAAAGCAACAGATTGCTACAGAGAAACAGGGCCTGGAAGCAGAGGTGTCTCAGCTCACAGGAGAGGTAAGATCTGAGCAGGAAGACAGAGTGACCTGCAATTGCTGTCAGCAGCCTCAGAATGAGCCTGTCTTGGAACAGGAGTCAGTCATCTTACTCCTACGGAGGATTCAGCAAAAATAGGTAATATAGTTAGATAGTGCATATTTTTAAAATCATTTACTGTTTTTGTTTTGTTTTATTTTGGGGCTAAGTAATATATAAGATTGAAAATTTGCAAAATACAGAACAACAGAAAGAATAAAGTCAGTCACAGTACTACCCAAAAATGAAGATAATACTCTTCTAATAAATTTAGGAGTAAAAACTAAATAAATCATTCTCATATCTGCTGTTTTTCTGTTATTTTAATCATCTCTGGACAGATTTATCCCCACACACTCTCTCTGTACTTGTAAATATTTAAATGATTTGTGATATCTGATAACTTGATCACTTATATGATTAAATAGTCACCTATATAGCACATATGTTAATTGTATAACTAGAATATTTGATTTACTTGACCAGTCCATTTTCTTCTCAAAGGGAGAGTTTAACATAAAGGTTGAAATTACCTTTTTAATGCAAAGCATGGTGAACTAAGAACATGAAGACCTGAATTCTAGTTTTGTCTGCCACTAAAGAGCCATGTGACTTTAGACAAATCATTTCATCTGACTCCTTTGAGTCCCTTCATTTGTAAACCGAGAAGTTTGGATTAAGGAATTTCTTACGTCCCTTCCAGCCCCAGTACTCCTTGAAGTGGAGTGAGAAATACTCCCATCGATGTTATTTCTCTAGGTTGCCAAGCTGTCCAAGGAACTGGAAGACGCCAAGAAAGAAATGGCTTCCATTTCCGCTGCAGTTACTGCTGTAGCCCCTCCCAGCAGTGCTTCTGTTGCCTCTGCCCCTCCTTTGCCTGGTGACTCTGGCACTGCTAAAGTGGGGGTTAGCATATCACCCCCACCACCTCTCCCTGGGAGTGATACAGTTCCCTCTCCACCACCTCCTCCACCTCCCCCTCCCTTACCTGGGGGCAGTTACACCTCCTCAAGCGGCTCTCCTTTGCCTGGGGATGTTTGCATCTCCACACCCCCTCCTCTGCCTGAGGGTACCATCCCTCCACCCCCTCCTCTGCCTGAGGGTACTAGCATCCCTCCACCCCCTCCTCTGCCTGTGGGTACTAGCATCCCTCCACCCCCTCCTTTGCCTGGGAGTGCTAGCATCCCCCCACCCCCTCCTTTGCCTGGGAGTGCTAGCATCCCTCCACCCCCTCCTTTGCCTGGGAGTGCTAGCATCCCTCCACCCCCTCCTTTGCCTGGGGGTGCTTGCATCCCCCTACCCCCTCCTTTGCCTGGGGGTGCTTGCATCCCCCCACCCCCTCCTCCCTTGCCTGGAGGACCAGGAATGCCACCTCCCCCTCCCCCTCTTCCTGGTGGTGCTGGAATCCCTCCACCCCCTCCATTTCCTGGAGGCCCTGGCATTCCTCCACCTCCACCCGGAATGGGTATGCCTCCACCTCCCCCTTTTGGATTTGGAGTTCCTGCTGCCCCAGTTCTGCCATTTGGATTAACCCCAAAGAAACTTTATAAGCCAGAAGTGCAGCTCCGGAGGCCAAACTGGTCCAAGGTAAGAATTTCTGTCCATTTCATCAGTAGATCTTAAGAAACCACTTCAGTCTCCTACTTTGTATTTTGTGCCAGGGTGGGCTTCCCTTTCTTATGGCTCACATCTGTCTGTCTTCAAGTTCTACTCATGCTTATGTTTGTTTATTCAGCAGGTATTAGGCTTCTCCTATGCCATACATCACCTTGGCAAGTTCTCCTATGCCATACATCACTATACTCTGCTATAAAACTTAAACTTATCTTTAAGTTAGTTTTTTGCCTTTTCTCTGAGGATCTGAGCACCATGGTAACACAGTTTGATAATAGCCATTTCACCAATCTGCAAGCTACTGGTAATTGTGCTGATCCAAAAGTCATGGATTTATGGATACACTTCCCTACCCCACCCCCCCCAGTAAATGAGCTACACAGGATATGTTTCCATAGCACACTATGTGTTAGAGGGAATTACTTCCACTCTCCCACTATATGTTTGAGACCCCTGTGATTCTATGCCAGCCTTTTGCTTCCAGAAACCAAGTTAAACTAGGAATTTGTTCCTAAAATGAACAGATTTGGTACACAGCCAAATTGATGGGAAAAATGTAGGACAAGGGAAGATGCAAAATGAAGCCCTAAACCTTCTAAAAGTAGAGGATTTGGGGTTGGAAGGAGGATAAGTAGCATAACTGAATCTAGTTCTTGAATAATCACCAATAAATAAACTGGAATCATCATCTCGGGATCCTACCACAAAGAACACAGCTGTTCTCAGGTTAGTCTTATTCTAGTATGACATTGCTAATAACCAGCCAGCCACCTCTTTTGCATCATGATCAGTTTTCTAGCATGGAAAGTACAGAGTTCAACTTAGTTAACTCTTGATACCCTGCTTGTATCCACAGTTTGTTGCTGAGGACCTTTCCCAGGACTGCTTCTGGACAAAGGTGAAGGAGGACCGCTTTGAGAACAATGAACTTTTCGCCAAACTTACCCTTACCTTCTCTGCCCAGACCAAGAGTGAGTCCCTTCCTCTTTCATGCAAAGGGTCAGTGTAGGACTTAGAATATCCTTTAAGTGGGTTTCTCATTCCTTTCCCTTCCCTGGGTGAGGAGTGAAGAGAGATGGGTTTTCCTATTCAGAGGAAAATAAGATATTTTTGTATTCTTGAGATGCTTGGGTTGGGAAGGGCAACTGTGTGTTACATGTAGGTATTTTATGTCAATATAACTTGCGGGGATATGAGATAAATGTGACAAGCTCAGTCTGGGCCCATTTTGATGATACTCTTTAAGTGGTACTGCCTTAAGGTTCTGTCCCCAGACCTACACACTTAATTGACAAGGGTTGGGCTAAGTGTTTAATAGGTCATGTGGTTGAGCAACTGTCTCCAACAATAAAGAACCATGTGTGATTCCTTTTCTTTCTTTCATTTCTTTCCAATATCTGATGCTTGCTCCTTCCTGGCCCTTTGCTCCTGCAGCTTCGAAAGGTAAGAACACAGAAGAGCCTTTTAGTTAGGTCTTTCAAATATTAGAGAAAAAAATGAAACAGTAAAGGAATTTCTCTTTAGAAAACTGAGACCAGAGATTGAGGTTGATTTCTCTTTTGCCAGTTTTTTTAGAATCTATAGGACCAGTAGCTGTGATCTGAACTGACAGGGAAGAACATTATTCTAAGTTGAAGCTACCATATACTTGTTCTTTCTTTGGAAGATTAGGGACAACTCAACTAATCATAACCATTACCTCACATTTGTGTTGTGTTTTATACTTTTCAAAGTGCTTTAACTTCTGTTGCCCTATTGGACCTGCAAAGAAGCCTTATGAGATAGGATGTGTATCGTCTCCATTGTGTAGCATATATAGACTGACTAGTTAGGTAGCTTGCCCAAGGTTATAAGACCAGATCCAGGGATCTTGACTTTTGCTCCATGTTTTTTAATATAAATTCTTTTCTTCTTCATATTCATATCTTCCCCCCCACTTTTTTTTAGAAGAGTTGATCTATTTTGCCCTCTTCTTTCTTCACTTCCTAATTCTTGTGGTTTTGTGCTGCCTTATGATGGGACAGTTGTAGTATTTCCCCTCAGGGATACAGTGTTTGGATGATCTTGTCATGTACTTAATGACAATTATAGCCCAATAGTTTTGTATTTCCATTTCCTTACAGCTTTTTTGTTTATTTAGAGATTTATTATGACCCTAGTGATTAAAATTAACTGTAACTTTGGAGCACTTCCTCTCCCTACCTTCACCCAAGTAAATAAGCATTTTTAAAGACAATTATTATTTTTTTCCTCTAGTGGTCTCATGGAACCAGGCTGCACTTTGTTCTAATAAGGAGCCTAACAGATGGATAGGTGCCTTTAGGGGCCCCTAGTTACGTGAGTGTGTCTAGGAGTGTAAGATCACAGTGCTCAGGCCTGTCCTATTGCCCTAGGATTCAGGGCAAAGTGGCCTTTTCCTCTTAAGAGAACTGTCACTTTCTGGACTGAAGTCCAGCCCAGGGAAATACTTCTACCCTCTTACTTAAAAATGCTGTGATAATGACCACTTATACTACTCTAGTATATCACCAAAGACTAGTTGACAATGAAAATCAAAATCAAATGATTTCCTAATTCGTAAGTTCACAGAATCTATCCCTGTGTTGGCCTCTGGCATAGGTCCCTTTCTTGTGGCTGTGCTCTGAGTGCCACCACAAATGTACAGGGCCTCTTTTCCTCCCCTGTTTTGTCTGATCCTTCTTTTATCCTGTACCTTTGTGTTACTATTGATTGTAGTGGGATCTTCTGCGGTTTAGTGGTCTTCCTTGGCGTTATATTCCCCCTGTGAACTGGTATATAGTGTTTTAAAAATACCCAAGCAAGACCTTGTCTCATCTTTTGTTATTTTCAACAACGTAACTAAACTTTTTAATGCTCCTTCAGCTCTCAATTTCTGCCTTGGAAACTACTTTCTATTCATTGAAGGCTCTAACTTTCTAGCAGCTTTGGCTTCTTTTTTTTCCCTTAAATTATTAGAAATCTCTGTATCTTAATCTAAAAGGAATATGTATAAATTAGTCAGTTTAGTTTAGTGGCAGTATTGATTTTCATGTAGCAGTAATCATCACTAGTAGATTGCTGCTATTTTGATGCAGGAAATTTCTAGCTAGTCTTTAAATATCCTTAGTTTTAGTTAGGACCTTCAAGTGTTAGATTGGCACACTGCCTTAATTTCCCAATCTTTTCACTAGGAAGCACTAGAGAAGGTGTTCTCAAACATTATTAAATCATGAGCAATCTTTTAGACATCGTAAATCAATCATTTTAAGCAATTTCTGGAAGAGATTTTTTTCTTGTCAAATATAGTCATAAGTACTTATTGTTTACCCAACTCTAACATTTATCTGCAACACTCAGTTGCAACCAAACCTTCCTGCTTCTCATCACATGTGCTACATCTGCATGTTTTCAATCATTTCCCCCCAAGGAGCAAACACAAACACATCGCCTTTTAAAAAATTATTTCTTCTTTGGATTTTCAGTGTTTTACTGACTTCAGTGTTGTCTGATTAAATTTTTTCTTCTACATTTTCTTGTCTTCTTTCCCTTTAGTTACTCTGTAAATCTATGCTGAAGCAAGCAGTATTTGAAGTTGGGGCTTGTTTTAATGTGTGTTTCTTGGGGACAAGTAATTGCTTTGATATCGTGTGCAAGGGCGTCAAGTTGCAGATGGAAGTGCTGCGTATGGACCCAAGGCCACGTATAATGTCCACTGTGATTGGGGTAACTAACTTGCCCTGTCTTTCCGGATGCAATTTGAGCCTCCCTGTCTTGGTGCTCAGGCTGGCATACTCAATACAGACTGTTCCCAAGTGGTCCCCTTCCTTACCACATGCCCCTAAAAGAACACTTTAATAAAAAAGACTTTGGACTTCTTAGAGTTTAGGTTTTTATCAGATAAGGAATTTCAAGTTCTAGAAACTTCACAGGTGAGGATTCAGAGGACCCAGATCTCATCAGTATGAAAGCAAGGTTTACGTTGCTTCTGGTTTGCTTTAAACATCTCCATTGTAACATTTCAGAATATCTTCTTCCTTAATCCTTTTTTCAAGTAGGCAACCAGTTTTCAGTTACCAAGTCTTTCATTCATAGTCTTAATATTGATGATATAGTTAAATGATAGATAATACTCATTACTGCTCTGTAAATATCAGAAGTGGAGGTATGGGTTAGATAACTGTCTCAAGGCTGTATAGTAAATGCCAGAGCCAAGGTTCAGATTCCAGACTGTGTGACTCTAAAGTCCGTGCTCTAGCCCTCTCTCTCCCAGAAGTGTATGTTCCTGCCCTAAGAGCTTCTGAAAGCTTGGATCCAGACAAAAGCTGGAAGAAGGGGGTATGCTGGCTTCTGCAACCACTTCATTCATTCAGGCACAAATGTCCTTGAGTTGGCAGTGACTCTTAGGAGTACAAAAAAGGAACATAGGATTAGGGAAAGTAAGTGAGATACTGGATATTTAGGGTTGAAGAAGAGCAGGCATGTTCTGATTATAGTACATTCAACTGTCGCAAAACTAATCCAGTTGGAGATACAAGATGTGCTTCTCTAGTACAGTAGAAGTCCTGCTTAGATGATTTCAGCCCAGTAGTTGCCAGTCTTGATAAGGAAGTTATTTGGACACCAGGTTTTCGTAATATTACATTATTTCCTCTCTCATTTGCTAAACACAAGTCTCTGACATTTGTTAAACATGCCTGTATTCCTCTTATATTTTATTGATACCTGAAACCTCTTGTATACCTACCGGCTGCTGCTATCCGCCTTGCTCTTTACATCTGCCTCCTATAGTCTAAGGTCCCCAGCCACTATGTCATTAAGGTTCAGGAAGATGTGTGCCTTTTTACTAAGAGAAGAGCTAAGAGAAAGGAACTGGTCCTTAAATTTACAGTACGGGTTCTCTTACACATTTTTATCTTTTAAGGGTTGGTCTCTTGTTTCTGAACTCTTGATTTCCTGTAAATCAGGAATTTACTTAGTTGATTTATTCCTTGCCAGGGAATATTTTCTATTCAGATTTGATAGGCAATGCCATAAAACTTCTAGTCCTTGTTCACTTTCTCACTTTCCTTATTGTGATCAGCAAGGAGTGTTTTATCATGGTCTCTTTGTTGACTCTGCTTCTTGAATTCCTTGGGAACATGTTTAGTAGTTAAATATTATTTTTTTTTCATCTTCTCCTAGGGAACATTTTCATCACTGTGGTGGCCTCAGGTCATTATTTGTATGTACAGGATAACAACATTTTTCATTCTGCTTTCCTTTAATTCTTACTGTCTTTTGTTGATGACATGATCCCATTAAAAATATGTCTTGAAATGTAGCATGGTAAGTGATCACTGATGTCCAAGTAGAGTGGTGTTTTTCTTTTTGGGTTTATTCCTTCCTTCCAAAACCTTTTGGACTCATAAGATACATAGGCTTAATCCCCCTTAGTAGGTGTGCAGTGGACAATATGTAGCATTAGACCCTCTCCCTGTTAAAGTGTAAGGTGCATTATGGGAACTGTGAGGATCAGAACAGTTCCCCAAGTAGTTAGTGGCAGTAATTTAGAAAGAACTCTGGCTAAAAAGTAAGATTTTTCACCAAGAGCTGAGAATTACCGTAAACATAACTATTCTAGTTAGGATTTGACGGGGTGTGTCCCGATCCCAAGGTTTATGCTGTTGTCTCACAAGTGAGAACTGTTTCTAAACTGTAGGTTTACCTGTCTACTGTTCTCCCAGAACCTTCTTAGTTCAGGCTTCAGCAGGAGCCTTTGGTGGGGGAGGAATCCCCTCTTTGCCAAAAGGGATCTAAGTGTCTTTTTCCTTTCCCGGTGATCCTCTTCTGTCTGCTAGGTGGCATCCACCCAGTTGGATCTTTATCAGGAAACATCCTAGTGAATCTTTACAGCTTCTGCAACTCTAACCTCTAGAAACAAGATTTTGTAAGAGTGCAACATGCTCCACCTTATTCAGTGAGTCTCTTGGCAGAAAGATGTCTGTTCTATCAGTTCTTTACTCCTCTCAAGTGTATAAGATTAGATGCTACTCAAGTGAACATTTGTTGGGATTGTTGTCTTTTAATTACTAACTTCTCTTGGGTTTTGAGTAGGGTCAGACTATTAGCACAAAGCAGTTTGGAAGTTCCATAATATCAGATAATATTTCCTTGTTATTTAAAATATGTCTATCCCTATCACCTTGGGTTACCAGGAGTCCTGCACATTTAACAAGTACACGCCTCCTCTGCATTGTCATCTCCCCATCATCAATGGTGTAAAAAAACACCTAAACTACCCCTTCACATACTCCTCTATACTCCCAACCTTGCCATCACTATTTGTCTTGAATCCACTGGATCTAATATTAGCCATTTATCTTGGTTTATGTCACTCACCACAGGAAGCCCCAGACTCCCAGGTCATCCTCATCTTCCTTACTCGAATTTACTCGAATCCCCAT